CAATAGCAATGACAGTACCTATAAACTCCCAAAAAAAAAAAAAAAAAAACTGGTATAGAAAACGTGTGAAATTCAACATATATATATAGTACATATAAATTTATCCAATAATCTTCCACTCAAAGTATCAATCCGTCAATTACATATAATAAATAGATGAATAGCTCAAACCCAATTCAAAAAAGCAGAATAACATTATTTTATAGACCTTTAAAAGAGCTAAAATGACTCATAACAATGTCATTTGAGAAAACTCCCGCTTAAGTGAAAAACAATTACATGTCCTTAATCTCTTCCTCTTACAAAAAGTCAGAGACTTGGGACATGGGAGGCAAATTATGAGCCCAAAATTAACTGGATCAGGGTCAAGTCACTAGCGTCCAAAGGAGCCACCCAAGGGGGTGCCGCCCATGGGCTCTCCTTCGTTCCATGCTCTCTCTTCCTCAGCACTGCCTCAGTGGTATCCCTTCTCACCTTGTCAATCCAATCCAGCACAAAATTCAAAAGCCCAAAGGATAAGAGCATGGGGAGAGAATATCAGGTTACGTATCATGGAGATCTAATCTTATCATAATTGTAGTTACCAAAAAATATGATTGCCCCATCTTACCGCCTCACTATACCTATATAATCTAAGCCCTCTCCACATAGAGGGCAGGACCTTGGCATCTCTACATCTTGAGACCTCTACACACACTACACCTCCCTACACACATTACCTCTCTCTCTCAAAGCATTGTAATTCTCCCGGAGTATACTCTCTGGTGACTTTTATTCATCAATAAATATCTCTGGTCACCGCTACACCTCCCTACACACATTACCTCTCTCTCCCAAAGCATTGTAATTCTCTTGAAGTATACTCTCCTGGTGACTTTTATTCATCAATAAATATCTCCGGTCACCGCTGCCGTTCATGAGAGTGGAGAAGGTCACTCGGATCAAACCACTATATATCTTTGTGTTGACTCCATAATTACTATTTGTCATTGATTATCTTAGTTATTGCTCATTAATTGCATTGTTACATATATTCGAATGTTAATCTGACGCAATATCAATTTGTGTATCATCATTATTTTCAATCAAAAATTTTGCACAAGTATGAGGGAGATAGATAGTATAATACTGAAAGGAGGTTACATGATGTAATAGGACATGATTGGCAATAAAAAATTAATTAGGGTTATAAGTAATATAAAATATATATGTTTGTGAATGTAATTAATTTTAGAAAAATCATGGAAAAATACATTTAAGAAGTTAAAAGGGTACAAGGGATATAATTGACTTTATTATATTAATTGAGGGTAAAAGAGAAAATTAAAAAATTTTCATTGTTAGACACTTTTATAAGTAATAGATATAGATAGCCACTTTTGTAAGTAGTATACATATAAATATAGATATTAATAGATATAGACATAGATAAATGATATTAAAGGAGATTAGAATTTGATCATATTCCATCATTTATCAATTCAAACGAGTTTGAGCCAATTGAAACCCAGCCGAACTCGAGCAATTATATTTGCCTTGACAACCTGCGATAGAGATGTAAGACATTTAGCAACATTCTTAAATTTGCTATAATTATATAGTTTTCCTTTAAGTAAATGATCTCGAAATTGCAGATTGAAGTTATGTGGCATTTTTAGACCACTGTGAAACATTGAATTCAAACATTGATAAATTAACAGTGGCTTAGACGTTGATTTTATTTAAACGTTGATTTTATTTTGTTGACTTCGGTTCGGTGTTGTTACTTGCGAAATTGTCAGAATTTTTAAAAAAAAAAAAAAAATCAACACGTGTGTTCCACAAACAAGCAAGTATTGTGGCAAAATTAAATCGGAAATATGCACCACATGACACTGCCAACTAAGGTCTATCAAACACACAACTTTTTTTCTTCAAATAATCCTTAGAATTATTACCACTCCATATAATATTTTCTTGATAGAAACATTGCCAAAAGCGGTTAGTAGAGTGTTTGGTGGAGGGTTTAGTGGAGTACTTTTTCTTTTTCTTTTTTATCAAAAGATGTGTTAATGGAATGGTCCCCTTGAACCTTTTGAATTTAAGCTTTTTTTAGATTACTTATAGTAAGGGGCGGAGCCAGTAAGTTACTGAAGATGGACACTTTAATTATGCACTTTAATTTTTTTCCTTCTAACCAATGACACTATATAACATATTTATATTTGTTATATTATATTTGATATATGAAGTCCATTTAACATAAAAAATTCCAAATATATATATATATATATTGCTAGGGGCAGAGTTATGAATATCTATGATAGAGGTAAAATATAAATATATTTCGTATTTATTAGGTTATAGACTACTATTACTAAAAAAATGGTAAATAAAAAACAAAATTATTCTTAAAATGTAACGAATATTGTGTTAGATAAAGAGAAATATTGTATTTTTCGTCAATATACAAATAAAAACATTGATTTAATCCAAACACTAACATATTTATTTCAGAAGGTTAGTGGTCCACTAATTTATTAAAAAAAAAATTAGAACCATTATTAAAATTTTCAAAAATTTAGGGGGTAAATATAATGTATAAAATAATTTTATAGGTTAGTGCAAAGAAGGACAAAAAAACTCAAGAAACTAAGTTTCTCGTATGTTGAGTTTTTCTTTGTTTTTTCTCTTTTTCTTGTGGCTGGGTAGTGGATAGTGGGCAACTAGGAGTGAGTGATTCAAAGAGAAAAAAAAAAATGGGAGAAAGATAAGATAAGTTTTAGTCAAGTGGGTCAAAAACTTTGTTTTTAATGATGGTGGGCCAAAAGTTTTGTTTTTAATGTTGGGCCACAAAATTTTGTTTTAATGTTGGGCTAAAAGTTTTTTTTTTAATAGGTCAAATATTTGATTTTTTAATAAGTTGGATAGATAATAGTGAGTTCAATTTTTTTTGTTTTAAATGGACTTATTTGTTTAATTATTTTGCGTAAATAATATGGGCCTAATATAAATGAGGGGGCACACATAATATATATGTATAAATATATAATACATATCTCTAACTAATAAAAAAAAAATTTTTGAGAAGGGGCATGTGCCCACCCTTGTCGCTACCTCCCTCCGCCAATGTATATCGTCCGTTCGATAAAATAGATGAAAAAATTAAAGCAAAGAAAACAGAATGAAATACATTTTCTATCCTAAAAAGTAAAGTAAGTGTCAAGTCTCGACAACGAAACCTAAAAATATAGTGTACACAATTTAATCCATCGACTTTTTCGTTCATTTTTTTATCCCAAACCATTTTTTTTACGAAAGCATAGTAGGGGAAAATAAACAGAGGATTTGCCTTTACAACATAAAAATACATGAAGGGTTTAGTGGAGAGTTTGGTTGAGTTAATTTATTGTCATTGATGTATGTGTATCATTGCGAATAGACCTTTTTTTCGACCGATTGATGGTGTGTGTGTAAGTGGGTCGTGGCCATTCTCAACAATGGAGGACTTATGTTGATGGGCTAAGCGCAAGAGTCCAACTCATGTTATAAGTCTGGTCCAAGCTAAAGGCCTAACTCCTAGAGGTCCAGCAAATCTAGCCCAGCACGGTCAAACTCGGTCAAGCTCATCAGCTCAAGGAGCTACTACCTCAGCAGGAAGCATGCAAGGTCATCCAAGGACATACCTTCACCGCCTTGGAAATAAGGAACTCTCACCTCATGGAGAGCACCTCAACCGTCACAACTCACCTGTTGAGAAGAGAAGAGGTCGTCGCCTCCGCCAGATCAGGTACTTAATTACCATTAAGTCATTCCAGTCTGTTATGACTGTCAGACTAGTTATTCTATTACTCTGCTGAGCGACTATAAATTGTAAGTCCCACCAACACTTGGGGGGTATTAGACTCATTCAAGGTAATTCTCTCCTCCTCTCTCAAAGTTTGTAATCTTCTGCTCTCCCACTACACCAGAGTTAATAAAATCCCGGCGACCCTTGTCATTCCAAATGGTCGTAGGTCACTTTGATCGAACCACTATAAACTTGGTCTTCTTTCTCCCACTACTTTACTAAATTTTATACTGTTTAGTTAACAGGTGGTGTGCAAACTAATTTGTGCGTCATCATATCTCTTGACTATTGTTAGTGGACAGCTGCCTATCATACCAGTGGGGTACACCATTTACAATTCATACTTTTATTTTCTAAGGAAATCCTACCAGTGTGTGTGTGTGTGTGGGGGGGGGGGGATTGAAATCCTACTTGCAAGTGTCTAAGGGATCATAGTTAGAAGTTTCTCTTCCTATGCTTCTTCTCAATATACCTTGTTAAAAGAAATGATTTCAGATTCTCAAAATTCATGGATTATCATCAGTAGGTGTAACATGAAATTCCATGTGAAAACATATATAAACCAATTTTGTGAATGGGACATTCGGGTACAAAAATAAAGTCGGTCAAAGTTATGAAACTATATTTAGTTAAACTAGTGGCAAATAATAATATGATCATCATATTGCAAATGATGTAACACAATTTTACCTTCATGTGGGTTAACCTAAAATTCCTTTGTTAATGTTTATATGTTTATATATTTGTCTAACATCAGTTAGATTAGAAAACATCACTACTTTTTTATACTATAAATAAATCTTCTCATTTATATGTTAAAATACACCTGAGCAATAGATAATTGATATTCATTTTCAATTCTCTTTTTTCATATGTTATCAGAGCCTATGCTCGTGAATCTTTCAAGCCAATGATAGTATGCTTTGTAGTTACCTTACGAGGGATCCTCCACATCATAACTCTTGGGACTCTTCTCCTTCTGACTATCCTCTGGCAACCTCTTTCGGTCATTCTTCAGCGACTTTCGGGTCGTCCTCTTGCGACATTCCAATTGCCTCCCAGCCATCTGATCGTCTCCCAACTGTCATCTGGCGAATTTCTAGTCATCCTCCAGTCGCGTTCCAATTGCCTCCTAGCCATCCTCTGGTTGTCCTTCGGCCACACTCCCACTATGACAACTTGTTTGTCTTCTCTTATTGTAGCGGACCATGAGGCAATTGTGACCAAGGTTCTATCTCGTTCTTCCATTGTCTTATCAATTTCTTCAGGTAAATCTTCTCCCTGGTTTATCGACTCAATCTATTGCAATCATATGACATCTGATTCTTCCTTGGTGCCTCATAAGAAGTCTTTAAACTATATGTCTCACATATATACTACTAATTATTCACACATGTCTGTTACTCATGTTAGTCATATTTTTACCCGTACTCTTTCTATACCTGACACGTATCTTATTCTTAACTTGTCTCTAAATCTTATTTCCGTTGGTCAACTTGTTTAATATAGTCTTATCTTAACATTTTCTTAGAAAGATTGTGATGTGTAGGACCAGAACACAGGCCAGCTTTTTAGGACCGGGCGTAAAGTTAGTCATCTTTTTAACTTACATATCAATGTATGCCTAACTCATGTTATGTCCAACCTTTTGCTGTTGTTGTGTCTTCTAGTATTTGACATTCTCATCTCGATCATACATCCTTACCTTATGTCCAGTCTTTAGCTTTTAGTGGTTGTTTAGGAGATGTTAAATTTGATTTATTTGATTGTATGTCTTGTCAATTCGGCAACATAAAACTTTACCTTTTAGTAGAAGTGATTATTGTCTTCTGTACCTTTTGATTTGGTTCATTTTGATATTTGGAGACCTGTTCTTGTCTTCACTAAGGGTTGGTCTCGTTATTTTATAATTTTTATTGATGATTATTCACGATACATATGACTTTATCTTTTACATGATCGTTCTAAGTTACTTAATATCTTTCATGATTTTAAGCAAATAATAAAAACTCAGTTTGATCGCACTATTAAAATTTTTCATTCCGAAAATGTCAGAGTATAAGGTTGCCTCATTCATTAAAGAACTTAAACAGGCAAATGCTTTGTCTCATTGATCGTATCCTTACACCACCTAACAAAATGGTTATGCAGAACAAAAGCATCATCACATTTTTTACACTTTTCGTTCTCTCTTTTCTTCCACCTCTCTCCCAAAATCTGTTTGGAGTCCTTACTATTGTATACTCCAAATGAATTTTTCTATGGAAATATTATTCTCTCCAAATGAATTATTCTATTTTAAAAGTTTCTGGTTGTGCTTGTTTTGTCTTACTCCCACGTCATGAGTATACAAAACTTGAACCCCGTTCTCGTCTCTGTTATTTTCTTTGGTTATGGCATTGAACATAAGGGTTATCGGTTCTATGACCCCATAACCAAGCGTCTTCGAGTCTCCTGACATGTTCAGTTCTGGGAACACAAAGTCTTGACTAGTGTTTCTCAACTCTCATCTGATGCTTCCTCATATTCTCTTGTTTTCACTAACCCATTTGTAGATCTTTTCCCAAATTTTCCTTATGATGTAGGTAATATAAGATCATCAAGTGATAAATCAACGACTGCTCCTTGCGATTTTGGATCGTATGTTGATCCTGTCATCACATCTGATCCACCTGAGTCCTCCTCAATGAACTTATCTGTAGATCTTTTCCCATATTTTCCTTCTGATGTAGGTAATGTAAGTTCATCAAGTGATAACTCAACGACTGCTCCTTACGACTCTAGATTGTCTATGGATCCTATCATCAAATCCAACCCACCTAAGCCCTCCTCTACTTTTGATGTTTACTATTCTAATAGGGTAAAAGCTCCCCTTGTCCATCTTAGTAATTATCATTGTTTTTATCTCTTGCTATTCCTCATAAGCCTCATAGTTATTGTGAGGTTATTTTGATCCACTTTGGTAGCAAGTTGTGTCTAAAGAACTTGATACCCTTCACAATTCACATACATAGAATTTGATTAATTTGCCTCATAAAAAGACTGTAGTTGGGAACAAATGGGTATATAAGAAGAAAACCAACTCTAATGGTTCTGAGGTGTGATATAAAGCTCGTCTGTTAGCCAAGGGCTTTACACATGAGTATGACATTGACTATGAGCAAACATTTGCTCCTGTTGCTGTCATTACCTCTGTTCGCTCCCTTTTAATAGTGGACTCTGCACGCCGATGGCCTTTATTTCAAATGGATGTGAAGAAAGACTTGTTACATGGTGACTTGGTTGAAGAGGTCTATATACAGCCTCCCCAAGGGTGTCTTCATCCTCCTGGTAAGGTGTGTCATCTTTGACGTGCATTATATGGGCTTAAGAAAGCTCTACGCACCAAATTTGCCAAATTTAGCTCACTATCTCACAACTTGGGTTTGCTTCTAGCCCATATGATTCTACTTTTATTACTCGTCATACTAATGTTAGTATTACTATTCTGTTTTTTATAATCATTACTAATGATGATATTTTTGGCATTTAAGCATGTTTTGAGTCAACACTTTGAGATGAAAGACTTAGACTCTCTCAATTACTTTCTCAGACTACAGGTGTCTCAATCCTCTAATGGCTACTATTTGACCAAGACCAAGTATGTTTTCGATCTTCTCTCTCATCTTGATCGTACCAATTGTAAGACAACTGATTGCCCCTGGAGTCCAACATCAAACTCCGTCCTACTGATAAAGAGTTTCTTCCAGATGCTACTTGTTATCGACAGCTTATTGGGAACCTCATTTGTCTCATTGTGACTAGGTTGGATATTGCCTATACTATGCATCTCGTTAGCTAGCTTATGTTGATTCCCGTTCTTTTCATTATGCAGTTGTTCTTCGTATCTTGCGCTATATGAAGGGCAACTTATTCCATGGGCTTCATTTTTCTTCTTACTCATCCTTGACATTGCAGGTTTACTCTGATTTTGATTAGGCAGGTGACCCTACCAACCAACATTATACCACTAGCTTCTTTTTTCTACTAGGTGACTCTTATATCTTGGTAGAGTAAGAAGCGAACAGTTGTTGCTCGCTCTAGTACTAAGCACTTATTGATAGTACTTTCGAGTTCCTTTGGCTTCACTAGCGTTTACAGGATATGGGTGTTCCTCACCAATCTAATATTCATTTTTATTGTGACAACCACAGTGTTATTCAGATTGATCACAACAATGTCTTTTATGAGCGCACAAAACACATTGAAATCGATTGTCATTTTGTGTGTCATTACCTACAGGAGGGCATTCTTTGTCTTTTTTTGATTGCTTCAGTTTATCAGCTGGATGATATTTTCAAGAAGGTTCATCCATCTAATCGCCACCGTGATTTGGTTTGCAAACTAAGCTGTTTTTTTTTTTTTAAAGAAGTAGAGAAATAATGAAGGGTTTTGTAGAGAAGTGATTTTAAAGAAGTAGAAGTTTTTTTTTTCCTTACTTACTTACTTACTTATTTAAGTGGTAAAATTACTTTCAACTTATTTGGAAGTAATTAAAATAACTTATTACAAACACTGCTTTCTTTTTTATAAGTCTTAGAAGCACTTTTGAAAAGTCACCCCAAACACACCTTAGGAGGCCTATTTTTCCTATTAAATTTAGAGAGTTAATATTAGCCGTCAAATTAATTTTAAAGTAAAATTAAAAACGATCTCAACCGAAAAAGTTAAAAGTCATTTTTTATGTTGTACTTTATTATATAGATTAGTTATTGTCATGCCTGAACGCATGGAGTAATAAAAAAAATGATCAACAATAAATACATTTGTATTCACGAATTAAAGGGTTTGAATATTTTTTAAGGCACTTGTTTCGTAAACTAGTGACCCCGAGACTACACGATTAATAAACGAATCAGGTATGAGTAAAGTCAATCAAAATAAATACAAGACACAAAGTCAATATGACACGATTTGTTAGACACAAATTAATAAATGAATCGTACATGGATGAAGTATTTTTTGACACGAACACGTCCACCCGACAGGATTGATATAGGCCTAAAATCAGTTAAATGCAACACATCGGTTGCATGATTGTAGGAGATCTCTCTGCCTATTTGTTTATACGGATAGATATCACCAAAATTTTAACAATGCACATACATACACATATATACATGATAGTATAATTAAATTCATGTTTCTGATTCGGGTTTTGATCAGTAAGGTTTATGCAATAGATATGTGAGAGAGAGAGAGAGAGACCTATGTAGATACATATACTAAATTAACATATCTGATAAAAAAAAAAAGCTAAATTAACATTAAAAAGAAGATTTTATTTCAATGTTAAAGCCATAATTTTAATGAGACTAATCTTGCAAACCCATGGTCATATTCTGTGGTCAACCAACGATGTTTGGGACATTAATATTCCATAATATCAGTATCAATGTATCAATGTCTCATAGAATCAACGTTGGTTGACTTAAGTGGAGAAAAGTCTCTAGCATATTATGTGAAAGAAAAATAGCAATAAAATTAAAAAGTAAGTTTTACCGAACCGCTATAAGGACATCAATGTTGTATGGGATAGAATGTTGGGCAAGTAGGAAGCAACATAGTGACAAAATGAGTGTAGTGGAAATGAAAATGTTAAGATGAATGTGTGAAAAAACTAGAAATGACAGAGTACGAAATGACTGTATTAGATAACTGGTAAGAGTAGTTTAATTGAGGATAAGTTAAGAGAAAACAGATTAAGAAGGTTTGGTCATATTCAACGAATAGAGACACCAATTTAAAAAAATGAGAGAATTGCTCTTAATAGTACTAAAAGTAAGGGTATATCTAAATTAACATTAAACAAAATAATAAGAAAAGATATGAAAATATTTAACTTAAATGAGCATATAGCGTATGATCGAAATGAATAACAAAGACAGACTCATATAACCGACTCCAAAAGATTAGGACGTTTAGTTTGGTTTGGTTTGGTTTGAATTCGATTAATATGAGTATCAATGTCAACATAAATAGATATTCTGGAAAGTAGTGTAGGAACAGAAAGAGGAAAAACCCCCATAAATCCAACTTTTTCTCTCAAAAATCAATGGAGTTCTATCAAATGTATATTAGGACTATTGAGTCATACTTTTCAAAACTGATTCCAAATAAGTATTAATTTTTATTATATTCCTTTGTACCCTTTTCAGCCATTAATTACGAAAGTACCATTGTCCAATTCCAAAATAAGAGGCCAAAAAAATCTAGGTGCCACTGGTGGCTTTCCTCGGGATTTTGGTCTACTACAGTCACGTCCAAGCAGAAATTTCTTATTGACCGCTCTCTGGAATCTTTTTTTTTAGTTCAAAAAAAAAAAAAACTTCAAAACATGATGTTAGAGTACTTTACTACTTTTATTTTCAAATGACTTTTTTTTTTCATTTTAACTGAGGAATGAAGATCAAACAAACAACTTCCGTCATTTGCAAAAAAAAACTGTAATTCTTGGTCCACATTTCAAGCATAGGGAAGAACAGGTAAGCTCACCATCATTCAAGCATACCAAGAGCAGGATTGTATTTCGTTCAAGCTTAGATTTGTCAAAAGCTGATTTCATTTTACCAAGAGATGTCAAAAACTAAAATCTTACATAGTAAAAACCAAGAGGAGGATAAATCATTGTATTCAATCTTTCAGTCCAACATAGACATCTCGTGCAAAAACAATATTAATGACATCAATGTTGGTGTAAGAGTAGCATCTTAGGCCGCCATATTCCCAAGGAAGACGGTGGTCAGGACTGTTTTAGACTGCATAGATGCATTTAATAGCTTCACACCCTAATAAGAAACCACATTTAAATCAGTTCTTCAAACTTGAGAATACCCACCCAACCTGGCTACAAACATAGGTTTGTTGAAGAGAAATGCTAGGGATCCCAAATAGAATCCCAAATGACTCTCGACCCCTGGATAAGTGGGTCATATTCATTTGGGATTTCAAATTCAAGAATCATGGTATATATGGATGAATTTACCACTCACTCTGAATCAAAAAAAATGAAAAATGTTACACATTTAAAATAAAACTCAAAAAGTGTAATCTAAATGCATATCATCCTTTGGATGAGTGAGTCTCCACTGAAAAAGTTGATGAGACTAACTCATCCAAGGAATGATATGTATTTGGATTGTAATTTTTCGAGTTTCATTCGAATTGTATAACATTACTCAAAAAACATATGAATGAAACAAAGTTTAAAAACATAGGATACCAAGTCTATGATAACTAGACAATTTGTAGTCGCAAATGTCCATATAGCATAATTTCGCTACTTTGCCTGTCCCCAAAAGACAAATGCATGAATGAAACTAGACATACACTTCGTTTTGATAAAAAAATGGGATTAGACATTTGACTTACCTCATTCATTCCAAAATCAACAACCCTCTCCTCAAGAGCACCAACATCCTTAACATTGAACTTGTTAAGCATAGTAATGCTAGAGATAGTAGACATAGGCTTCACCGCCAAGTCATCCATCACCATATAAGTCACCACCCCTCTAACATACCCTCCTGCTGCCTCACCAGCTGACACCTCTTTAGCCTTGGCCCGTGCAACGTAGGTTACCTCCTTGTTCATATAAGCATTGCACTCTGGACAGACGGCAATCGGGTCATCGGCGACGGAAAGGTAGGAACAGGATCGGGCCGGGCAGGCCTACAACGACGGAAAGAAATCGTTTTACGGCCTCACTCTAGAAAAAAGAAAAAAAAAACTGCAGATTTTATATATGTATATATTTAAAATAATATAATACCCTATACAAGACCTCTAAGTCTCACAAAAAGTCGAAGAACAATGTTTTAT